AAGGTATTCAATTATAATGCTACTACTGGTTGTATTTCTACACAAAAATATTCGTACATATTTGTCTTTTCAACCAGGAAGAAATGCAGGATTACCTGTCTCAGCTCTGTAACAAACCTACAGTAGGTATGAGCTACATCCTGTTGTTGCTGTGAGAATACATTTCTGCTTACCCAATCTTGTTTTTCCTCATCTGCTAAAGCATCAGGATGTTAATACTAAATATCACTTGTGAAATATCATGCTCTAAGCTCAAAAGAATAAGTACTTGCAACTGTTTGCACTTGAACATGCCTGTCCCTTCCCCACAAATTAAGTGAAACTGATAAAAGAGTGGAATGGCCATCTATCAGAAACACAGCCCACTGAAAAGGTCAGAATCTTAACAGCAGATTTCTACAATTCACAGGAGGCACAAGACATTAAAAGTTACTGCCTCATTCATGTAACAAAGATTGTGTCAAGAAAATGAAATAGTACAATATTTATCTATTCTTATGAGAGCGTTCATCAAAAGTTAAGGAAACGGCTTTGAAGATCATTTGTCTAATGCTAGGAGGACTTTTCAGCTGTACGATCTACCACAGAAGTGGCAGGTTGCTGCATTTTTGAAAGCAGAGAAACAAAACACATCTAAAACCCTAAAGAATTAAAAGGAACATAGCATTTCTGTATTAGCAGTCACAGAGCTCTAGCGTCCCTCTACATAAAGCATTGGAGAAACGCAGAATCCACAAACCATCTCGGCTTTGGAGGGGTGTCCCAGGTTAGCATGAGACCCAGCAGGTAAGAAAAGATGTGTCCATTTAGGCCGGGCACCTCGCAAGCGTGGCTTGCCTCCTGAGCAGAGCGTCCACCTGAGCCACACTTGGACCACAGTGGGCTCCGCCCTACCGCAGCCCCCACGCGTCTTGGTTTGCTCTAGGACACCAAGGGACACGGCCAGCTGGGAATTACACATCTGTCCTTGCCTGGGTGACCAGAGTGTCAGCCTTCTCCTCGGAGCCCTGCCAAGAGGCTGGGGCTTGGCACAACAGGCAGAGCTTTCAGCACAGCTGCTGCTGCTGGTTTTCATTAGAAGTCCCGGTGGAGTGTTGAGCCGACCTCTGAACAAGGTAACGAGGCTTCTTAATGAGGGGGCAGTTTGGGAAGGCGAGGTACCTTAGTTTCCTGGCAATAACTAGAGTACCTCAGGAAGGAAATAAACTTCTTGACTTTAAATACACTGACCTGAACTCATTTGCACGTACCGTGCAAATCCCTTTCCAAGCGCCTCCTGCTGCTGCTGTCTCTGACCCTTCCAGCACTTTTTAGGTACCTTTCATTAGACAAATTACAAATCTCACTGAAGGGATGACTGGGCATTTTTTCAGGTTCAGAGCCCAAAACATGTTCCTCTTGCCTGCCCGTGGGAGCCCACTGCTCCTATTACGGCAGTGCAACACTTCTAGCAATCATATGGGTGACTCCCTCACTGTCTGTGCATGGCCCAGGGAATAATAGCAACTCTTTTGAAAGAAATAGGACCACTGTCAAACCTTCTTGCTATGTAAAAGTATTTGTGAAACTGTGCATAAGTAACTATCTCACTACCCGTATACCAGTCATATGGAATAGTGACTATTACATTGTTGATCAAATTCAAGAGTATGGAAAAGCACACATGGCTTATTTGCATAAATCCTTCTCTTAACTTCAACTTTGAGAGCTTCCATAGGATGTCAGAGTTTTATGACCCTTACTCTGACTTGCTTTTACACTAAAAAAATCAGCTATGACTCCACCAGACAGAGCTGGGCTTGTTGTAAGATGGCCAAAAATTGCTCAAAGCTGAGAGAGTGGTTTGACTTCAGCAGCGACCTTCGCTGCTTCCTTCAGGGTGTGCAAAGCAGATCTAGACACTTCACAAATTCAGAGTCACCATTTTCCCTAACAGCCTTCCAGTTTGTTTATTGACTTAATTCTAGTGGCAGTAAGGTTCATATTATCAAAATAGTTTTATTAATTCTTCTCTGTATAATTCTCTGTGTATTTTAAAATGCATTCAAAGTCTTTGCATGGTCAATTGTGTTATATCAGATGCTTTTTTTCTGATATATATGGGCTTATACAATTTTTTCCCAATGTACAATAACCTTTTTAATTGGTAATGCACAGTGCATAAAGCAAAAGTTATTTGATTTGTGGAAAATACAATCTATCATGGCTTTTTTAATTGCCTTTTTGTTATTTATATCTTGAACTATTGTCCATTAATCATTTGTGAGCTATTAATACCAAATTTGTATCCATTGAAGCTCTGAACTGAGAAAACAAGAAGACACTTGAAAAAATGCTTATTATGTTGGAAAATGCTTATTCTGTTGGATAAGGTCCGAAAATAAGGCAATAGTTTTGCATATATATATATAAAATAGGTATTCCTGTGACCATTTTATGTAAATTGGTTTTATATTTGTAAACATAGGTTTATTTTTATATATAATTTTTATTGTATAACATATATTACTATATAGAAATATATATTTATATTCATTGGTCAAAATAGTATCTTTTCTGTCTTTATAGCTGCTGTATGTATTGAACACTATATATATGTGTGTGTGTGTATATGTATATATATGTTCCTAAATTGCTAAGGTTAAAGGAATTTTGTTTCAGCTTTCAGGTTATAACACAAACATAAAAAGATCTTGACAAACTTGAACTGAAACATGATTTTCAACAAAATATATTGATAATGTAAAGAAACCCTGGATTTATTTTTTTTTTTTCCAAAAAACTAATGTTGCCGTTTTTATTTACAGGTTATTTTAACTTTGCTGAGGGTTTTTTTCCCCATTTCTGAATTAAAAGAACTCTGATGTTGGAGCTCCTCATGGAAAGGGATTTTTTTTGTCAAATAGTTCCAATAGTATAGAGTAACAATTTAAAGTTTAACTGAACAGTTCATAGTTTAACCACTTTGTCCAACTGATTTGTTTTGTATCATATTATTTCCACAGACCAATAATCCACTAGTACACAAGGCTTCCCTTTAGAATTTTTATACCTGCCCACATCTCTTAATCATAAAATTCTTCCCAGACTAAGTATTTCTCTGCATCTGGCTTAGTAGTCAATTGTAACAAGAAAGGAAGTTTCTCAAAGAGGATAATGAAAGATTAATATTACAAGTGGGAGTCAAAACTACACTTCTAGAATGTGTTCTTTGGCAGCTTGTAGGATACAAATACTAACAAATAGCAACAAAATTGTATCTTTTTGTTGATGGGAAGTATATATCTCACTACAGAGATATACTCACTGATAGTCTTCTTTCATTTTATAATCTCTAACTGAGGTCAGTATCATCTGCCCATTGCATACGAGAGATTTCTGTTCCATTTCCATCAACATTTCTAAAGGGATGATAATCAGATATAAAATACCAACTACTGCTTGTCCATAAGGTACCACAGGTTGACCAACATAGTGGTTGAATATTTAAAAGCCAAAACACTTACAAGTTTCCATATACATAAATGAGGAAACAAAGAAGGTGGGATGAAATGTAAAACTTGGTGGTAGTTGCTGCATAAGGTGGTCTGTGGGTTTTATTTTACTTTCCTTTTATTTTGTTTTGTTAAGACTGGAAGACTCATTCAAAAAAAAAGAAAAAAAAAGAAATTAAAAACTGATCTAAAAGATAATACGACAAAAAAAAAAAAGCTGACAGATACAAAGATTTAAGCCATGTACGCATTTCAAAGACTCCTCTTTAAAAATGTATAAAAAGACATCAAACAAAAGTTATACAGATAATTCAAAAAGCCTGACACCTAACATCATTTGAAAATTTGCACTGAAAGACCATTTCCATCTAAGAATTTAACCTACACTGCTAAAATCAGTGTAAGCCTTGCCCTCAAATTAAAGCAAGGAGGTATGCCCTATATTAAGTATATTTTAGAATATAACCTAAATTATAGATTGCAAGTATCTATCACAGTATAAATAACATTTTTTTCTTATTCTAAGAACTAAAATTAGACATGCTATGTCACATGAATAAGAGACAATAAAATTTTAGCTGTAGCAGTTAATAATACCTTTTACATAGCTTTTCATCCTCAAACTAAGTTAGTAATTAATCCTTATAAGCAAAGCTAGTTGAAGGATGTGTTGCAAATAAATTATCTGAAAGTGTATTATAAGTATATTTTAATAATTTCTTGGTGTTATATCCTAATTTAGGGAAAGGGAATGTGATGCACAACTATCAAATTCAAATTGCGTTAATTCTTAATGAGGTCTGACTCATAACTTGGGATTATTTTTTCTTCCAGATGACCAATAGGAATCTCCACTGATTTAGGTGATCTTTGGAAAACATCCTTAATTGTTGGTCTCGTTTCCAAGTGTATAAACAGAAATTAGTATTTGACTAGTCCAGCCACATTTGAAAGATGTTATTATTTACAGTTGAAAGTAGAGACATAAAGGCTGAAAGTGTTGACAGCTTGCCCAAATTTTCAGAGCAATGTGGTATTTGGTCCTGCATCTCTGACTGCCATGATTGTCGGTTTAGCTGGCATAAACAGGGTTTTGTCATTATGAAATAAATTTGTTTCACCATATATTGATATTTCTCACTCTGATGTTCCCTCCTCTGTGAAATTATGAGAGTTATGTTAAATTGGGAAGTCTCTGGTCCTGAACTTCCACAAGTGTAAATCAGTTGACTAATTAATCATGACCATATTACATCCTTTCCAATATGATTTTCTTTGTCTACATGAGGTTATAACAGCTGCTTAAAGGATATTAATGTTTTAGCAAACATGATTTAAATCCTTTTTGTTCCTGCAGTCTGGAGAAGAGCAGTAGGATCAATAAAGGCAGTTGTCTTTTTAGCATTGTCACTTACCTGATATGGTTTAGTAATGATTCATCTGTGAGATTTTATACCAGGAACTAAGGACGCATAAATACTGTCAGGCAAAATATTTCCAACTTACTGTTTATTCATCCAAAAGAGAGCTGCAATGAAGAATACAGGGGATAAGATGCCAAAAGCTTAAAAAAAAAAAATGCTTACCTAGTTCATTCTCAAAGTATATTTTGAGAGTAAGGACATACCTGCAAATACATTTTAACATAATTTTCCATGTATTCTACCATATTTTGTTTTGTCTTTTAATTTCCAATTCTTTGTTCACCCGCTAAACCTAGCCAAATCTAGTACACACCATCCACAGAAGGTGACTCTTTAGGTTAGGTCCCCCGTGGTAGATGTGATGTGGCAGAGAGGTTCCCAGCTCTTCTCCACCCCCTACCTTTGCTCTTAGTGGTAGAAAGTGGGCAGATAGCAACTGCTGTCCCAAAGCATGAGCTGGAAGAGCTGGTGCACATGTTTGGGAAAGGTCATGTGCTGCAGTAGATATAGATCTGGAGTGTGTTCAGGGTCCCCGTCTTGTCCCCAGGTTGTTCCTTTGCCAAGAATAGAGATTATATATAATAAATAGTTGTTGTCTCCAGCCTAGAGACAGCTCCATCATAAATATTCTCTATTGTAGGAAGTTTGCACTTTTGGCCTACTTAAGTAGCTCCTTCCTTTGCTTTGATACCTTTTTATCCCTCTGCTTCCTACATCTAGCTATGCAGCAGCAGCAAGGCTGATAAAGACTGTATAGCTGTCATTCTTTAAAACTGCAGAGAGTAAAGAGGATGGGAACCCCCTCTGCAGATATTGGTTTGTCACATTTTATTAGATCTGGTTCCTGAAGGGAAAGCCATATTAAAAAAGCATAGGCTGGATTTTACTCTCCACCATAATAATGCTCCTAGTACAAAAGGTCAGTTGTGGATTGGTTTCTTTTCTTTTACATCAAGAAACAGCTACAAGTAAATTGAGCTTCTCAGAAACCAACTTAGACAAAAATGTGCATCTATCACAGAAAGCTGCAAGCATGACCAGAGGCACATGGACTTGGACATGTTTGTACTATAAAGAGATGGTTGTCTCTTCTGAGAACTGACTTCACAGTCCACTAGAAAAGAGCAGGGATAAGCTGGGTGTCCCAGTATAGCTTGGTTGCTTCTCACAGCATTTTTAAAAGCAAAAAGAAAAACTGGTAAATTCCTGCTCTCCAGCTTGCTAGAAAATGTGTATTGAGACAAATAATTTTGGGCCAAACCTTTCTTCCCCAAGTTTACCCCTCTCTGAATCCATGAATCCAAGGCTAGAAGTGGGTTAAATGCAGTTGTAGGAAGGACTATTCCATCCAAATTCATGGCTACTGTAAGGTCTTTCAGAGGGTGAGCACTCTCCTCTGCCTTGTTTGTGTGGTTTGGTAGGCTCACTGGTGACACTGAAGTACAAACTGGGAGAGGGAAGAACTTGGGGATCACTGTGTTAGCTGTCACATACCTTGCCATTTCTGAGGAGGACAGTAAGGAAAGTGACAACTGCCCCATCTTCCAGAAAAGAGTTAAGTCAATGGTGGGTACCAGTTTCCACTATTTGACAATACAACCATAATTAGTTCTGCTTTAAAGAACAGGCCTTTGAAACTGTTGGTCATGGAAAACATTTCCATGTCAAAATGGGATGTTATTACATAAAACAACATTAAAAAACACTAAAAACCATCTTCATGATTAAATGAAAAATAGTCCCAGAAATATTTTTGAAACACTCACAAACCTTTTTTCCCAACTGTGGTCTCTGCTGACCAGCTGCACAATAACACCTGGCTACAAACCACCCTCTGACCATTAATTCAATCATAAATTAGACCCATAGCCTATAGTGTCAAGGTATCTCCGCCCTCTGAAAGAGTCAACAAGAGCAAATCCAGTGTCAGCTCCCCTTTGTGAGGCTTAGAAGATTGACCCATTGGATCTTGATAAATGAGTTTTAGCTACAAGGCTTCATTATTCTTTGAAAATAAATTGCAAGACAAGCAGGCTTTCTGAAGAAGTTATAGATATGTAATTATAATGCAAGTTAATCCTCTCCTTATCATGTAAAATAAAGTGATTTTGTGAAACAGTGTATCCATGTTCTGAAGACTATTGTGTTTACTGGATCAAAAAACAAATCTCCTGGAGAAAAAGCTGTATCTTTAACTGAAGATACATAATCAATAACCTTGCAAGGCATTCAGGCTACATATTCACTAAGGACCTGCTTAATCAAACGTATCCATGTCTCTTTTAGGATAAATCCCCGTAGTCAGCTACACTGAAACAGTATTTTCAGCTCTTGTTTTCATAATGTTAGTCCTACATGACAGTTCTGTGTCATCTGACAACCCTAATCCATCTCAAGGTTAGAATCTATTTTGTATTTCAAATCTCCCAAATCTCTGACCACTTAGTTTAAGTAGGATTAGCATAAGCACCAGAACCCACAGAGAAGCAACGAAAGCCAAACTACGCTTTGATCTGCTCAAGTAGACATTTGCTGAACTCCAGCAATACAACAAGCAGCAGAGCAGAGCAGAACAGGAGAGCTGAAACCTCAGAGCAAAGCTTCGCAGTGGATGTGCATTGGTAGAAAGTTACCAGACACATTGTGTGTTTCATTAAAATGTTTTACTCAGAAAGTTAGGAGAAAAAAACCAAAACTCTTCTTAACAATGAAGCAGAAGCTGATGTTGCTTCAGCACAATCATTAGTCCACTGAACAGACTAAAATCACTTGGGAAATTGTTCCTCATGATACTGGAATTTAAATCAAAGTTTGTCCTGGCCCTGTGCATGCACTATTACGCATTTGAATGAGAAGTATTTATCTACTTATAAGTGGAGAGATAATATTATTACCGAACTCAGTTGACAAAGTTGTGTAAATTGTGTCTGCCGCATACCAAAACCAGAGGGCCTGATCCTGTGTATCTGATGCAGGGTTGTTTTAAGATTAATTAATAAAATGATTTAATAGAATTGCTCAAATTAATTTTCTGTTTCCTGGACTTAGAATTTATTTTATAAGACAGCTTTTGTGGTTCTGTGTTCATGTGGGTACAATGCAAAAGGAGCTCTATCCACTGATAACCCAAGGAAGTAGATTGTCTTTTTACCATTTTTCATAAGAGAAATGTAAAAAGAAACAAATATCTTAAATACTGAAATGAGATTTAAAATAAGTTTTTAAATTTTAATTTCTTCTTAATCTGTTGTAGCCTTGTATAATCAGTCACATTTTAATAATCATTTGCCATTTGCATATTTTTTCCTCAACAGTCTGATTTTCAAATGGAAGCCTCCTGCTGTAGAAGGAATGCTGATATTAATCTCATATTTAAAACCACAGTGTGAGTGTTGAACATATTCTGAATATGAGCTTTAACAAAACATCTTACAGAACACTGTCTTGTTGCTTGATGCTGGAACAGCAAGCATTTTTTTTAGTTCTGAAAAATTGCGGGTTTGCATTCATTATTCTTTTGTATGTTTTTTATGCCTTCAGAATAATGGTGTTGTATTTCTTATTCTCTGAACTAACTAATATTCTTCATAGTTTTATTTTGGTTTGGTTTGGGGTTTTTTTTGCTGCTGCATTAATGTTGAATGTTCTGGTTTCTGAGTTTCAAGTAATATAAATGAGAGAAAATACAAGTTTTTTAAATTAATGCAGATTCATAACAAAAAAAAAAAAAAAAAAAAAAAAAAGAAAAACTCCTCCCTTCCCCTTCCCTCTTCTCTCCTTTCCTCCAGCTTTACATTGCTCCTGGTCAGTTTTGGGATGGGTAGTGGAGTAGAACATTGGCAGAAATGGTGGGCTGATACATTCAGATGGGTATAGGAATAAAACTAAAAGGTATAGTAGAGAAATTGCAAACACTGCCTGTTTTTTAAGTTGGCATTGAAAATGACTTGTCTATACTGTCTTTCACAGATTGCTGAGCTTAAGTGGCTGAACTTGAGCCAGCTCCATGCATAGCACTGTGTTAGCTCACAAATGCACCTTTTAAGAGACAAGCCATCCCATTCTGTGACCCACAAAACAGTGTCATGTCTAGCTGTAGAAGACCTTGTAGATGCAGTAGGAAAGGTGCTCTTTGGAATTATTCAGCAAATTTATTGGATTGCAGTGATTCATGACTGAACTGCTGGCTTATGTCCTAAGGCAGTACAGGTAGGCAGAGGATGCTTTCCCATCTGTGCTGTTAATGAACAGTGGGAGTGTTCAATGTATCTCTGAAGGGACATTAAATCCTTGGCAGTCCCTCACACCTGAGCAGGGAGTGGGTCTCAAGGCAGCTGAATCCTTCTGGCAGCCAGTTCCCATCTGTCCCCATTCAAATATGACAGATAACCTGCATCCAGGTCACCTGGCAAGGGCTCATTTAGGGATGTGAGGGGGCAGCAAGGTTGCACCATTCTCAGGTGTCTCCTCAAACAACTATGTGATACAGCATCGTCAACAGTCTGGGTACCACCAGTACAGCCAACAGCACTTGAAAGAGCTACACCCTCCTCCTTTGTTTTACTGAATATACAGCCAACTGCATGTCATGGGACAGCAAACGTGTTTTTTTCTGGTATTTGGTCTTCCCAATGTGATACTTGGCTGCAGAGAGCCATGCTGAAGGCTGCCCTTGAAGCCAGTGCCCCTCCTGCCATGGAACTGGATCTGTCTGTTCCACTCTGGGACTTGGTACCCTCCAACTGGTAACTGGTGAAATTATTGTCCTAACCTCAATAAAGCAGATCATTATTTTCAATGTTGTACTTCCATGGGAATGCTTATAAAGAGGACAAGGTAGGAAACTGTGAGGGATGATGGGATTCTGCAATACAATAAAAAGGGATTATTTTTCTTAATAAAAAAGGCTTTTTCAAGTCTTTCAAGCCCAAAGCACTCAGATTTTCCTTTCAGTGCCGAAAATCCACTTTTCTTTTAAGCTTATATGCAGTAAAATGCTCAGCTGAATCTCCCTGTGTCTTTTCCTCTCCAAAAAATCTGGTGACGTTTCCCACAATATGATGTTATAGGAAAATCTCCTTTGCTGAACAGCTCTTATTTGGCT